ATGTCGCTATTGCTCCGCGGCGCCGACAAAAACGAGTCAATATCATCGAATTTCATTTGCTTCCATGGCGGCTCGTCTACTTCGAACGCGGTAGTGGACACTACGGACTTGGTTTTTTTCGTTATCGCGGAACTCTGCCAATCGGTGTGCGGTTCCCAAAGCGTGGTGGTCGGCAAATAGACCGTCTTGGCTCGCCACTTGCTCGTGGCCGAACTATGCTCGCGCGAGACCTTCTTGGCCGTGGTACCGACCGTTGTGGGCGACGATCCTTTCCAACGGGGTTTCCGGGACGTTTTCGAAGTAGGCCGCTTCTTTTTGGTGGTGGTTCCGGCGAATTTTATCTTCTTCAGCGGTTTTAGAGACCGATTCTTGCAGTCCCATGCCATGTCGTTGACAACGGCCGACACGGTACTAGTTGTCATAGTAACGGTATTCGCGATCCGTTTAGGTGTCTTGGCAATCAGCGAAGTCGTCATTGCTTTTACGTTGGCTCTAGTACATTCGTCTTTCGGATTTCTAGTCGACGGGGTTTCGCATTCCGTAGTAGGTTCTGTCATGACCGGACAACGTTTGGTCTTGGGAGTCCACGGCCTGGTTGTCGCCCTGGGCGTAGTGTACTTGATCTTATAGCAACAAAGAGGGTCGGTCGCAGTCCATTGTGGATCGTCCGTACAAGTGGTCCGTACGGTTTCGCCGCAAAGTTTTTCTGGTGTCGTTTTTCGGCGAGTAGTTTCTGGAAAAGGGTCAGAATTTTCGAGAAAAAAAAAACTATTCGATTAACGAATTTTAAACAACCAGCAAATGTTTATGAACTCACTTTGTCGGCACTTGGTCGAGAATTTGATTTTTTCGGCCAAGGTTACACGGCCAATTCCTGTCACCACGCAGAGCAAACAAATAAGGCGTTTCCCGTTCATTAATCTCTGTACCCAATCGTTCATAGACAATAATACCCACTAACCAATTGTTGGGTGAACCTCGAAAAAAAGGAACGAAAATTTGTCTTGTTCGGTTCGGGTACGCCATGGATACATCTTGTTGTAAATCAAACAAACGCCGTTATCAACGATACCGTTGTCTAATTAATTCAACCATAAACAAATGAGTTCAGCCTTTTTAAGTTTCTCTAATAAACATTGTTAACGATACAACGAAAGTTTTCGTTGTACTTTAATGTAGTAAATGTGAACTTAACACTTATTTCTATCGATACAAAAAAAAAATTCTAATTTTTGTATCGAAATACTTGACAGTTTCGCACGAAAATTAAGAAAAACTATTCCCAATCGATAGAGCTATTATTATTTTTTTGCATGATGTATTTTTAACATGAAAAATATCTGACAACTTAAATTTGTTATTTATGTATACAGTCAATATTTAAAATTAATCCTTTGTAAGGATATTGTTTTTGAGAATTGTCGGTTTATTATTCATCCTGGCATCTATTCGTTAAACATTTTTTTTACAAATTAAAAAATGTTTAAACAGACAAGAATGGTTCTTTTATTAGAATTATTACACTAATTATCTAGAAAGTTTGTCCTCGGCCTTTATTCAACGCTAAATAAAACTACATGGTGTATTAGGGAAAGTCTTGTAATCAACAGTTCCCTCTCGTTGGTTCTGTATAGAAAATTCAAAAAAATACATGACATATTTAATGTTATTGATGATACTAAGTATTATTTAATATAGTAAATAGTATTCACCGAATTAATGAAATGTTTCTACCTTAATATGATTTGAACAATTTCCGGTTGATTCTTTTTGGCCATAAACGATTTTAGGGCAATTAATACACTTAGCAGATATATTTGTACTATAATCGTTCACTATTTCGAAAAAAGTTGAGTAAAAAAAAATCCATTTGTTTGTTTCAATGTTTAATTCTGAATCCGATATTGAATTAACACTATTTACGTTGTAAGCAACACTAAAAGGATCAACGGGATATTAATTGCGTCTAGACACTCCTAGTACAAAATCAAAACGCCGCACAGTGGGGCGACTAATAGACTATCTCGGACATATTATCATTTATTATGATAATGTATGTATTGTTTATTTTAGATTTTATATGAACTGTTTACTATCTGAAATCGCGCATCCTCGATATACAAAAAGGATGTTAAAAAGCAGACATAAGAGAGTTATAAACATTAATAAATGAATTGATAAAAATTGTTTTTATTAATGCGCCTAAAAGACCTAACAGCGCATCCTCTCGGCCGTTTGGTACGTTCTACTTTCAGGGTAGCGTCCTCTTAACGTTTTAGAAGTGATTTAAGTATTCACAAATACTTATATATTGTGTTTGGATTATAAATCGACCCTAATCGTATCCGCCTTAATACTAAAAATACATTTTTAAGCACAAGATTGTCATTAGGTAAAATGCTTTTATCGAAATTTGTAATTTTTTATAGAACATTGGACCTGTCTTACTTACTCACGTTTATAATTCCTTACTGCTGGTTTATACTGTGCTTGTTTATACTATGCTTTTGGACTGTACTGGTTAAAACCTACTATCCACAAATTCGTATCGAAGCGTTTATTGAAAAGAAATGTTATCACTTTCAGTTATAATAATTCCTGTAAAGCGTAGACCTGTCACCCCCGTCCCTTCTATGCCTCAACCCCACAGTACTGGCTTTTTTTATTAATAAGCTGAAACATACTCATATAAATAATAATACATTTGTTTGATAAATGTATAATAAAAGAAACAATTGCAAAATTAATTATGATCAATTAATGTATTTGTGGTTAAAAAAATCGTTTATAAATTAATTCCAACAAATTAGTAATTCACATTAATCGCCTTCAATTGTACTTTTTGCATGTAATAAAGTACAGTTCATATAAAACTTAAGAAATATATTATCTTAATCGTAATTTTGTACTTAAAAATTATAAACTCAACAAGGACTTGCTCTGTGGCGGACCTATGACGATTTTTTAGTATTTCGTTTTTTTCTCTTTACTAATATACCTACTAAATGCTATTCGAAAATAATATTATTTTTATTTTAATTCAAAACGGTTTATGGGGAGTGATATAAAATCCTACCCTTCCCCTACTCGCGTCAGGTAACACTCCTCGTTATATAATAAAGTCTCTAAAGGCTATGTACTTTCTTATATTGTTATTATCAACTCATTTACTTTTTATACTAAACATATTGAAACATATTGGAAGAAGTAACAAGAGAATTCAAAAAGGTTTTCAAGAAAATGCTGACTATATCAACCGAAAGAGAAACGGAAGGCAATAATATTGTCACAGTAGAGGAACATTTAGATGAACCCTCATTGGAAGAGGTTAAAATGGCGGTCGAAATGCTAAAGATAGGGAAGGCGCCAGGAGAAGATTCAATAATATCGGAACTTTTAAAGAAAGGAGAAATTACTCTAATGATAAACTTAAAACAGCTGATAAATAAAATATGGAGAGAAGAAACAATACCAAAACCATGGCAGGTTTCCGTACTATGTCCAATAATAAAAAAGGAGATGTAATGGACTGCCAAAACTATAGAGGTATATCCTTACTTAACATCGTATAAAGGTCTCTCTAACATAATTTTAAATAGACTGAAACCGTATGCTAAAGAGATAGTAGGAGAATACCAAGCAGGTTTAACAGCTGGAAAATCCACGACTGACCAAATACATTTTATCAAACAAATAACCGAAAAGAGTCTTGAATTTGATAAAGATGTATACCTGTTATTTGTGGATTTCAAACAAGCCTATGACTCGATAGCTAGAAGTACGCTATGAAACGTGATGGTCCATCTTGGAATACCAGCTAAACTTGTTAGGATGGTGAAAGCATGTATGAAAAACTCAAGGTGCAAAGTTAAGTTCAACTCGGTAATATCAGAGGAATTTACAGTGACCACAGGGGTAAGACAGGGTAATGCTCTGTCTCCGGTCTTATTTAACATTACGTTGGAATCGGTAGTTTTTTTTTAGGAAGTACTGCAATGTGAGCCACAAGTTTTGAATATAGGGCAAGGAAAACAAATAGTATTGGCCGCGTACGCAGATGACATAGTTGTAATAGCAGAGACAGAGGATAGTCTCAAGAGAACAACCGAAATTTTAATTGATGCAGCGAAAAAGATTGGGCTTATCATTAATGAAAACAAAACCAAATTCATGATTGTATCAAGGAGAGAACATCCACAAAATGCTATAATAGTAAAAGACTTATCATTTGAAAGAGTTCAAAACTTCAAGTACTTAGGAGTAGATATAAACTCGCAGGCAGATAGCCACGAAGAAATCCACAGAAGAATCGCAGCTGGAAACAAATGTTATTTTTCACTAGTCCAATTATTTAAATCTAAAATATTATCAAGAAAAACAAAAATCAGATTATATAAGACCCTTGTTAGACCAATTGTACTGTATGCCTGTGGGGCATGGGCGTCTACCAAATCTGACGAAAACAAATTAATGATTTTCGAAAGGAAAGTCCCGCAAAGAATATTTGAGCCGAAAAGAAACGACGGAGGTGGCTATGAGATATGGTCAAACAGAGAACTCAATGCTCTATTTAACGAGCCCAATATAGCTGCTACGCTCAAGAGCCAGAGAATAAGGTGGGCCGGTCACGTCTGGAGAGCAGAGGGCCAACTTATATCGATCATCACGGAATGGAAACCAAACAAAAGTCGGCCGAGAGGAAGGCCTAGACAACGACGATGGGAGAACCGAGTCAAGGAAGACCTAAGAATGCTAGGAGTACGGAACGGAGAAGAACTGGCAGCAAACAAAGAAGCATGGAAGGAGATAGAGGAAGCGGCAATGGGCCTGGATTAAGCCTTAAAAAAAAAAAAAAATATTGTGTAGATTGTAAATATTATCTTAAATAAATAAAAATAATAAAATCAGATTTAGCAGCGTTTGTTTTTTAATTTTCCTGCAAATTTGTTAACTGACACAAAAAAAATCTGTATTGAAGCGTTTTTCGAAAATGGGTATATTTAACAAAAATAACATTCCCCAGCGTCCCCCAGCGGGCCAATACTACTGACGTCGCTGTGTTCCACGTGGTCGTCGACGTTGTCGCCTTTGTCGTCATTGTTATCGTGCAAGTCGTTGGGTTTCATGAATGTGGCCTTTAATAAGTTGACAATGTTGCTTCTAGCACTTAGTTCGTTTTCTTTCAACGTCTGTTTGTAATCGGACTCGATCACCTGTCGCAACGTCCACGAGCTGTTGTCGTTGCCAACCACTTTGAACCAAGATATTGTAAACATCGTCGTGGCTGTCGCTTGTTCGGAATTGTGCAACATCCAGGGCGTAAAACGCTTCGACCGGCACTGCAGCAGCGGAGATTCGTCATTCGACGAAGCATTATTGGTTATTTGACTGATATCGTAATAGTTTGAAAAACACAATTTCATCAGAAAAGGGTATTTGGACTCTGCGGACAAACGGTTTGTAATTATTATATTATCATCATATTTCGGATATAGATTAACCTCATTGTCGGGTCAGTAGGAGCAGAGTAGTGCCGGTTCATGTTTAAGCCGACACTTCAGCCTGGTCAGTAAAACAATTTCGCATAAACTAGATCTTATAAAAAATTCTATTCATTGACATGATATCTGTTACCTTTGATATAGAAGCCTAACGGCCTAGGAGGAATGTAAGAAAAGGGAAATATAGGATTTATTAAATCTAAAAACATATCTATGGCTCAATATTTTTCGGTCAAACGGAAGAAATTTGTTTTTGAGATAAATGTCCCATTACTTTAATGGAAAAACTACACACCAAAATAACCATACATTTGATTTCTCCTTCACTAGACGGTAGTATCTAGTGGATAAAAATAATACAATTATTACTTGATGATTTAATAAGCAAATGGTTTGTTTTTAAGACGGCCTTTACTGCATGGCTGATGTCATTAAACTCGATTAGTCCTGTAGAACATTTGGCTTTCTGAGTTTTAGGTACTGTAAAAGAATAAAAAAATATATTAGGTAAGTTAAGAAATAAGCATAGTTACCGAATGATGATGGCCGTACAAATGGTAATTGAAATTATCGGCTCGGTGCTTTCGAGGTAACTGGATATTGCTTGATGTACGTCCAATCCGGTGATATCGGTCGGCGCATTAAAAAAATGTAAAATCTATAACAATAATCATTTTTTTGTTATTTTATATTTTGGGGGAAAAAACGAAGTATAAACCATAGTATTGTTTACTTTTGACGGAGCCGTCGGTCGTCTCTCGGTTATGTATGACGTTTTGAAAAATCTGTTTAATTTACTCGTGGAATATATTTTATGGGCATAAGTGCCGTCCAACAGTTTATTACTTACGGCTTCGTTGTGAATAGCATAATGTTTTGAATATCTGTGTAGATATACGATATACGATATATAAATGTTCACAAATGTCGGGACACGGCTATTGGCAACACTGCATATGTTCTAAATTAAAAAACCTATCCTAACCTTCCCGTTGTTAACAATAACTACTGTGCTAAACATTAAAAGCGTTTATAATAATTCTATAAAATAGAAGCCTAAATACGGCAAGTCCAAAAAAGTAGCGAGATATAGAATGACACAAAAAGGAATGGCCAAACGCTGAATTTCTTTATTTTTACAAAAGAAAAAAATCCATACTTGAAAACTATAACTATCCTACAAAAATTAATGCATTATTTGAATTGATTACCTATATTGATTGAATCTATAAATCGATCTAAAAATTACCTACACTGTAAGCTTTACGAGATTCTTTGATATGATGATTGTAAAAGTCCCAAAAATATTATTTATAAGTGCAGAAAAAGTTTTTAAACTCTTAATAAATCATAGTTTATTATAGCTTATATAAGATTTAAATTCCTATCTCTAGTTAACATTTTACTTATTATAGTCTCAAAGTCAGTGTTTTTTTAGTAATTCAATAATATTTAAAAATTAAAATTTAGTTTTACTCTAAATTTTTACCCTCTTGAGTATAAGTCAAATAAATTTCAACTATATTCTGCAGTTGAATTAAACAATGTTCATTAAAAAAACAAATTATAGGGAAGGAGAGGTTAATATGATTTTGCACGAAGATGTCTCCAAGATTGTTTACAACAAATACGCATACGCCACAAGTAACAAGACATAAAAATCACGAAATTAGGAAAATGTACGCTTAAGGTTTGTAATGAAATTTATTTGGATTTTTTTAAATTTTTATTTCCAGGGTTATGATCTTGGGTTTTGCCTAACTTTGTTGGTTATACGGTAATGTTGAATACTGCTAAAGTAATAAGTTCAATAATTTATCAATATCGTTTGGCAGTGTTGTATATTGTAAGTACAGTGTTACCAACAGTAATATACAGCGTTACAAACAGTGTACAGTGTTGTTGTGTACTCACTTGACTTCGATCTTCCTGTCTTGACCTAATGACAGTTTGTGTAGATAATCTTTACACTGACTGGCGGACTCAAATGATTGCATCTCCACCAAAACCATTTTATTTTTTAATATCTTAACTTTCATCACATTTCCATACAGACAAAACAAGTTGAAAACCATGTCGCAGTTGATTGGCAAATGCTCAAGTCCGTAAACGACAAGAATTTTGTTTAAGTTTTTAGTGGACGACCAATGATGTAACAACATATCGCAGGCTTGATCCGACATTTTGGTTTTATTATTGTTCACCACGTTAAAGCGACAATTCCATTCATGTTCCTTACTAAATGTACAGAATGAGTATTATTACGGTACATATTTGACCAAATTCATTAACAAAAATGATCGAGGTTTAACTTTTCTAAGTAAATTCTAAGACCGGTTAAGTTTATTTTGATTAACTTACTTGTTTTACCCAGCTAAGTTTATTTTTATTTTTTGATAGTTTTTGTAAATTATTGTTTTTTTTTAAATAATTAGACTTTATAATTGGGATTAGGTTTATCGGTACTTAGTCATCTTATTGTTTCCCCCATTAGTTGATTTAATCAAACAAAAATAGTGTGAAATTATACATGTAGGCGTGTTGCTTGTTTTTAACATTTTTGTAGTATATAAAAAAATCAGAATATTTTTAATTTAATATTACAGTGCGGTTTGCCGTGTTTGTTAACATGGGGGTCTGATTTTCGTTTTGATTTGGGTTAGCTATTCTAGAGTACCTGCGTATAGTATTAATACGGAAAGCCCTGGTTTGCTGGGAAAAAAATTAGAATATTCTCTCCATGAACTCGACCGGAAGGTTCCGGCACCTATTGCGGTTATAGATCCAGACCTGAGGGATCGTATGATCTGTGGTTGCTGCAGTGCTTAAGCACTAAGGTGTTGTGTAGTGTAACCGTTTATATCGGGTTCCTTTATGTGCTGGCTCTCTAAGAAAATAGCGGCGTCAAAGACAGATACACTGTCGTTTGATGAGGAGGTAACTGCCTGTGCACCTTGGAGGCAGGACACGCATGACTGAACTTAGAGTAGACTGGCCAGAGGCTGTGCTTGTGAGATGATTTGTTGATGATTTCTTTCAGCATTGAGTTATTTTACATTGCGACGAGAACGTCAAAATTGAATTCTGAATTGACAGGATAATAGCTGGGAAACAGTACTTCTGTTAGCCCATTATCTACCAATAGGTCCTTGGCCTCTGATCTGCGGTGGCTTAAACCTAATAAGTTTAGTGAGGCCTGGTCGCTTTAGAAAGTGATTTGAGACTAGTAAGGCCCTAGAGCATCGAGGCAAATGGTAGCCCGAACTGCTTGGACGTAACTCGTGAGTAAGAAATTTCTTCGTAGGGGTTATTATGTATTTTTGAATCAACACCAAGGCCTAGGGCGACGAATGTACTATAGTATCCTCCGTGGTTGTTTATTATTGTGCTCGAAAGTAAGGGAAAGGGCGGGAATAGATGTTAAACGTTCATAGCGGTAACGTTACCTGAATATTCCTTATGAAGCAACATTGGTTCAGGGAATACAAGGGTGGTGACTGCGTCAGCGTGACTAGCTGGGTGGCGGGTTGTGAATTTTACATGGACATGTTATTGGGCTGGATACAAGAAATTTCATGTCACTTTTTCCGGGTAAGATTTGTTTGGCTAAAGCTGAGTCATCAGTGATAAAAGCTCAGCATATTTTTGTTGATACAAATACCAACTGAGCAATGCTCCTATCTGGTATATTCTTATAATACTACTACTTATAATTAATACTACCGGAAATTGTATAACGTAAACTCAGTTAAGCTACAAGCTTTATTCTTAACATTGTCAAACAATTATGCAAATTATGGTCTGATAACGTTTCCGACATTGGATATAAAATACTTAAGAAATCAAATCAAATTCCACTAAAAAACTGTACCTACATTTAAAAATTGTATACAAAATTTCATTTCTTTGAGAATTACCTTATCAGAAATGATAATTATGTATACCGTTTTCAAAGTAAAAATTGAACAAACAAGTGGGGGTTATTTAAAAAAAAAAAAAGTTGAACATGAAACTAAGCAGTTTTTGTTCCCGCCTTTTTCATTTATAATAATTAAATACTTACAATTTGTTCGACGATGTTGTATCAATCTGGTCTTGTTCGGTTTGACATGAATCCACAATATTTACGTTTTTTCCTAGACAAGACAAAAAACCGTTTTATAACAAAATAAAACCTAATCCCGTTTGTTGTAGTATTAATGGAATATTGTATTAAGTCCATACACACCTGCCATTTGTGTAATGTATAGAAGTATCACAGGTTTTACTATTTTCGAATACTTTGATTTATATGCAGTGTACAAAACTAAAACATGGTAAAATATATGTATTGATTTGAATTATCACTTGACGACGCGACTTCAACAATCGATTACTATATTTCATTACTATTGCTTTTCAATTGAACCACTCAATATTTTTACCTAATATGTTACCTATAAAAATACATATTGGTTACCTACATTTAATTTTAAATCTTTTATAAAAAAAAGTTATAATTATAGTATTATTTTTATTATTTAATTAATTATAATTATTATACAGGGTGATTATTTTATCACGGGAAACTCAATACTCACCGGGTTTAATTAATAATTGAATAATTATCTAATGTGATTTCAATTTTCCACAGATTATGTTCCTACTCCCCCTCCCAAACTAGTTTTTTCGATAGCAACTTTTGAAACTGAAATGGTAACGTATACATTTTTTATCTTTTTAAAGTAAGAATATTTATGAAATATTATATACTAATATATAGCATATAATGTCTTGAGTGAAAGCTAGTGGAATTGGTATTTGAATAAATAACACAATACGAATAAATTAAATTATTAAACACACCACTATTGTAAAACACATAGTAGTTACATAGTCATAACAATAATAGATTATAATATTATATAGAATATAATAAACCGTGTAACAATAAAACACTATGAATTGAACTGATAGAATGAACCTAGAACCCTTAAACCAAAATATGCTATTTATGTTGAACATCAATGTTAAACACGCGCACACGACTGCACAAGTGTTGTTTTCTTCTTGCACAATCTTGTTTTTCAATAGGTTTTCCCGTTTACTAACTAAGTATTTTTATTATAAAGATAAACAACATATTTTTATTGTGACATACTTCATGGTATACAAAATATTAGTTATTTCAACACATCCCCTTAATTAATATTTTCTTAACATTAACCTAATCTACTGTGACCTTCTTTATACCTATGATTGCCCTTCTCAAGTCTACCTTTCGATACTGCTTTTGTAAAAATGTCGGTAAGCTGATCATCAGTTTCTTTATACAGTAGTTGAAATACGCCTTCTTCATACTTTCCCAAATGAAATGGTAGCGAACATCATATGTTTTGACCTCTTGTGAAAAACAGCTTTCTTATAGATATGAATAGTGTTTTGATTATCTATATACAAAATAGGTTTATCAATCCCTTTTCATTTGTTAATTCAGCTATCAATCTTTTAAATCAAATCAAATTTCTTATAGATTCTGCACATGCAACAAATTTGGCTTCAGTAGAACTTGACGTAACTGACGCTTGACGCTGAGAATTCTACTCTACTGAACAATGTCCCACAAGAAATAAGTGCCCTGTCGTTGATCTTCTCGTTTGTAAGTCGCCGACGAGTATTCCTGCGCTAATTACGTATCTGAGTACGTAAATAAAACTAATAGAGGTCTATTAATTTTTAACGACTAATTATTGAAACTATAGATGAACATCCAGAGTTCGATATTGTTGATGTAGCACGACGAATTGGTTTATTAAACCTTATTAAATAAATGTATAATTAAGACTTACTTTTTGTACTTGACCACATAAAACCGCTTGTTTAGCTTTTAAGACTTCTTCTCCTTCCACAGCATTTCTCGAATTCGTATTACATTTTACGAACTTAAATATACTTTGTAGCGTAATATACATTTTTAAAAATAGTATAACACTACTAGTTACAAACCTAAGTGTATTATTAAATATTAACAGAAATTGTAAAAGTAGCAGCATAAATTATAAAAAGTATCTTAATAATTTGTGAGTAGCTGAAGCAAATAAAATTGACTTTAAACACACAAATAAACCGAAAACTTTTAGTAATAGCATTGTAAACTGTATGATTTAAAAAAAAGTCCCACATCGGTCAAGGGGGGAAACCGCCACCCATAGTGATAGCAGCGCTCCTGGTGTTATTCTGTTTTCCCAATACTGTCATTTATTAAATAAAAGAGTTGTCAGTAATCAAAGACTCGGTTTAATAGAATTTAGAAAGTAGTTTGGAGAAAATGGCATCACAATCAATAACAGAAGTGGCGGGGTATCCATTCCCTCTACACAATTTAAAAAACTTGGAAGTATTGGAAGAACGACTTTCTCATGATAGTACATTCCGTATAAGTTATGTATAGAATAATAGTATTCAACTTTATTTTAAAATAAAAACCGTTGAAAAACTAAACATTTTTTTTTCATTACTAGGTTCATCAACTATCTTATATCGGCGGCAAACATGTAAAGGCAATGGTCAAGAAGCTTATAAGAAAATTATTTAAATATTAATTGCTCAAGGAATTTTCTTATACATGAAAAAAAAGAAGTTTTCAATCTTGGCAACATGTTCTGTTTTATTTGGTAAGATAATATATATATTTTTTAATTATTATTACCTTCATATAACATTTTATAATATAAACTTACATTAGCAGAGGAAAAATGTCTTTAAGTATCAATTTTTTTTTAATTTTAATAAAATTTGTAGCTACTACTAAATGAATACTATGATGAATTTTTCAGTTACTTAGAAAATATTGTCCTTAAAGTTGTAGTATATATTAATAAACAATAGTTTTTAATAAACGTTTTTGTATTTGAATGTTTTTAATTATTTCTTAAATATCTACAAAATGTTTTATTTTTTAGATGCTGTTTAAACACAAACTAAATTTAAACAAGTGCCTTAAAATGAAATGAAAGATGTCATCAAGTACATTTTTGCTTAAGCACCATTTAACCTCAAGAGACAAAAATGTGTTAATAATAACACCATGTTAAGTCCTTTCCCATTATGTTAACTAATATTGAATATAGTGGCCAAAATGACGTGCAAAACAATGTTATGGAAATAAACGGATTGATAAAAATACGAAATCAATATAGTACGG